ACCAATCCTCTCTGTGGAAACATTGGTATAAATGTCTTTTATGATTTTTATTTTTTTTTTCTTCTTTTATATCCTTTCCTTTTTTCTTTTATTTCTTTTTTTTGAATGGACCTTGAGTCTGCTAATAAAGGATGATGATGATGATGATGATGATGTTCTTAATTCATGCTCAAATTTCATATTTGCATTTTCCAGCAGTCAGTCGGAATCTACCTATTCATTATGACTACACCAATCCATCTGGGAGTTGAAACTAAATCCAGTATTATAGCAGTAAAATAAGTTATCTGTCATTCCCCTTAGCAGGAATTTCTATATGTAATACAATAATCAAACCTAGTTAGTGTACATTGTTAATTTAGCTCTCCTGGTTGTTTGTTCAGTGTTTCCTGACATGCTGTTCTGAAAGTGGGCTTCAGAGAAAAATCCCTGTCTACTGTACACATGCGAGGGTCCTACTCATTCATTACTGAAAACAAGGGTGGGCAATGTTCTCCTTTCTCCTCCCTCTGAAACAGTGGGCTGTTTGCAGGGTGGAGACAGGGTGGGGGTGAGGCCCCTGTACACTAGATGTGTTTTCATGATAATGCTCTGTTTAATGTTGCTGATCTCAGTGGCTCCCCCCTTCTTCACTCCAGCGGGTCACACTGAGTCACAAGGCCAACCAGCGACGACAATGGCATGTTTGTGCACAGGCTGAGTTATGGGTGGGCTGTCTGATGTGAAGGGATAAGATGGCACAAGGTGGACACTAGAGTCTCATGTGCATGCATGTGCACAGATGTGCACACAAATAAGAATACACCTGTAAGCCTTTGTTATACTGGAAATTTGCTGTTGAGGCATTCATGCATTTTTCTGCTTCTATAAATGAAATTTCCCTCACTACAGTGTATGCTATGTAGATCAGCTCAATTGAGGTTAGTGCTGGAAACATTCTAATCTACATTCAAACAGTAACACCAACATGACAGATAAGATAAATGCTTTCTGGAACAGAAGGAAATTGTGGGTAACAGACGCTTTCGGGCTTCTACAACCCATAGACATTATCTGTGGCTGGTGATGTGATATCTGGAACAGGAAAAAGGAAAATATTTCATACTGTTCATACTGCAGCAGACAGAACAGTATAACTGCCAAGAGCCAACTCGATCAACACTATAAAATAAATGCTGTAGGGACAGCAACCAGCAAAATTCACTAGTAAAGAGCATCTGATATGTTGCACTGGGGTGGTTGCACCTGCAGAGATTTAGCAGGATTTACAGCAAATAATGAAACTGTTTTCCAGCATGATTTTGTAGGGAGAGGAGCGATATGAGAACAAAGAGATATGAGAAAATGTCAGCTGTTCACAGAAAGAATGGCAGTTGTACCTTATGGCGAACACTATAAAACAGAACCAACTACTGTGCAAGACCACACTGACACAAACACTATCAATTTCTATTAGTGATTGTAGAAATGTTTATGGGAAAAGCAGAAAGTGGACTCTAGAGATCACTGACCGTCACCGCCTCTTTCACTTCACTTGCAGGTATTTTTGTGGAAAAGCAGCCCTGGACGCCCTCATCAAAACAAACTGTTCTACATGCTTTATTTTTGGGTGTGTTCCAGAGAAGCTGTATCAGTATCACTGAATGTGATACATAATTGCTTGTAGGAATATTATCTGCTTTTATTTTCCTCCCACTACTTAATCACCACTTGACTTCTTTGTTCAAGTACGTCCGCCTCTGGTGTAACATACTCAGAGGTTAGTCTTAGGAAGGCTGAAGTAAAGGGGTACAAAGTATAATGAGGACACTGAGTATCCACAGTCTGCCACAGCTATCCTAAAAGTACTAGGTATCTACACTTGCATGTTGCTACTTTGTGCCATCATGTAATTGTTTCTTATAATTTAATGTTTTAATCTAATTTGCATTTGTTTTATCTGTACATGCATTTGAATGTTTTCAATGTCCCTCACGCCCCGTCCCTTTCCACCACCTCCTTGTTGTCATATGACTGCTGGCTGTTATGTGTGTGCAGTGGAACACACAGTTGCTCTGTTAGTCCCCTCTGCTCTGCCCTCTCTGATCTGAGTGCTGGAAGTAAGGCCCTCTCACTTACTAGCTTCAGGAAAATAGAAAGCCCCCCCTGCAGCTGACTACTAGCAAAGATTACAAAGGAGGGCAAAGAGAAAGAGGTGGATGAATTGAGCTGATGTTGTTTTATGTAACACCAAAAGATAATTTAATCTTTGTTCACTCACAGAGCCCCACCCTAAGGTCTTGGTCGATTAATTTGCCAACTTTCCTCACTGATGCCTAACTATTAAGTCGTTTATTTTTCCCTTATACATATCGTCTGTCTAAAAGAAATGACTGCCAACAACAGGCATTTGTGTAGAAACGACACTTTGTCCCAGTACCTGGTGAGACCCAAAACAAACACGAACGCTGAGCTAGCTAAATCTGAGCAATGCCCTGTCTGTACCTACACAGTAGCAAAACAACTGAGAGACAAGCTTTAGGAACACATGCTGTATTTCTTCTATGGTTTTTATTGGATTTATGGGCTATCTCATTGCCTGTGCATGGTGTTAAAGGTCAATTTTCATGTAATGCTCATATCTACTAAAGCAAATGTGTAAGAGTAATGTGATATTCCTGTTGCTTCTACTCCAGGAAATAAATGACATCTTAGATTAATCATTTTTAAGTAGGCTGCCGAGGGAACTACATTTGATCCCCTTGCTACTTAACTGTAATAGAGCTGAGTTTAATTGTCTGTGTTGGTGGTGTGCTCAACTACAAGACTGATGATGGCTAAAAGTGACACTGACCCTTGGATTCAAGCGCTGCTCCCTCAACAGTCACTGTCACTTTAAACCCAAGTCTGTCTCCTGACATTACATCTCCCAGTTGAGGGGATCTTGCAAGTGACAAAAGAGGTGGAATAAGGTCAACTCAGCATAGGTTTTGCCACACTCATTTTTATATGCATAAAGGTCACTTGAATGGGAGCAACTGTACAGTATACTACAACCTCAACAAAAAGACCAAAACATTAGCTGCTGCTGCTGTTGGAAGATGCTTCATTTATTGTGTTGATTTATGAAGATTCTGTATTTAACTAAATCATTAGATCAAAATCAAAGCAATTCTTTTTCTTCCAACATTATGATCAAACAGTCTGTATAAGGGTATGGTGACGTTATTCAGTATGTGTGCATGTGTTGTGTGTGAAACTTTGGGAAGACTTGAGCATGTGATTAACCTTTATATTTCACACTGAACCTCATCATCCATCATTTTAAAGCCAAGGTCATCGGTGACCTTTGACATGTTGAGAAACAAACAAGAAACTGAAATGACACAATAAATTGCATGTTAATGCAGGTTGAAGGACTGATTAGAGCTTTTGTCACAGAGGATGTGGCCTTGCTTTGATTCCTAAGGGTTACCAACTGAGACTGTAGCAGTTAACAGTGAGAGGAGAAGATCAGGACTGATTAAAGTCTTTGAAAACATTCTGAACTATGGATGCAAAATATATACAGCCCTGCGTGATGTTTGCATGTGAAACATTTATTGATGTGCTTCTCTTTCTGATTCTGCTTGTGATATTATAGCTTATTTTTTTGTTTCCCAATAACTGACATAGCAGCAATTTTTTGATCGATAACACATAATTCAACTTGTAGCTTCCTATAAAGGCTAATCCCATTCTGTCGGTATTACAATACGACTGTGATCAATATTCACTTCCAGTTTTTGCTTTTTCTTACAAACTCTGTTCAAGCAGCATCACAAAAGCATCAATTTAATCACTTTCTGATTCATTTTTGTATCAGTGGTACAGAAGAGACAAAGACATGGTGGAGTTTATCCACCATCTTTGCCTTGATTCACAGATGTCTACGGGCCTCGGTGTGAGCCACAGACACAACCAGCGCTCCTTCTCTGTAATATGCTCAGAAAAGTGATTCTTTCTACCACCATGGAATGATCACAGTTTCTCCTCCTCTCTTTCATGCAGTCTGCTTTAAGTCTTATCTTTCCTTCTTTCTTTCTCCATCTCTCTGCTGCATCAACCTCCGCCCCTCTTCCCCATCTGCCTCCCTACTGTTAAAGCCCCCCAGCCACTTAACCCCTCCCTACACTGGATCTCTCTCTCTCTCTCTGTCAAGCTTTTAACACAAACACACATGCATTACACACAAATACACATGCTCTCCTGATGCTTCACAATCAATCCCAACTCCAGATTTTAAAAATACCGTAATGATCAGTTAAAAATGTGAAGGATTGTTGAAATAGAAAATATCACAAATCATCCTGTTTAGCCTACTGAGTAATGAACACATTCCCTCTTCCCCCCTCTAACATTTACATTCATAAACAGACACAGCTAGACACAAATGAACCAAAAAAAAAAATCCTACAACATTTCTGTGCCACTGTCAAGCCACAGTATCCCAGTGCCTGCAGAGCAAGGCTCCATGGGAATTGTAAACCTCCCACTGCACATTCATAGTCAGTGTCTGGTAAAGCCAGTTGTTGGTACCGAACACCTGATTGTGTGTGATGGTGCTTTGACACTATTATTTTGCCCTTTTTCAGTTTCATAACTTATGGCCTGGACAGAACACAGAGCACATATGTGCAAACACACTCATACACACATCTTTGATGTAGTCTTCACTTGTCCTACATACAGTAATTACATGAACCCAAGTATTGCGTTCTAAAAGAATCGAGGATGCTCTGGGGAGAGGATGAGTCAAATTGCAAGATAGCAACATCCATTGACACAGAGCTAGCAGGGTGGAGGAGGGGACTGGACAGGCTGCCTGCGTTGGTGACATCTCTAAATATCTCCTATCCTTTTTTTTTTTCAGGAAAACACACCCGTGTTCCACAGAACAACTATAGTGAGATAGCATCTTGTTGCTTCCATGTGTCCAAGCTTTGCCTTGATTAATCAACTGTAAGAGCAGTGAGGCTTACCGTATTCACAAGCCAGCATCCATTTACAGAAGCTACTGCAGACAAGCCCTTGCAGGGAGAGAAAAGCTCTGTGCAATCCGCCTTTAGTCCTGATGCTTCATCTTCATATCTTCCTCATATTCACACACACACACACATACACACACACATCTCTCTCTTTTAGCGCCCCTCTTTTTCCTGTCTTATGGGTTCAATATCCTCTCCTGTTTGCTCTAAGGCAGCTGAGACACTGCAGCGATGGGGGTGGAGGGCGTGTATATATGTGTGCGTATGTTTGAGTGTTTCAGAGACAGAGGGAGGGAGTGCTGGACAGAAATGGAGGGAGGAGTCAGCAGGGATAGACAGAGAAGGGGGAAATGGTCAGGATTAAATCATGAGAGTAACAGAGAGAGTGACAGAGACAAAACAGTCTTTGATGGGGTAGATACAACATCTGGTGTATCTTTATTTCATGCTAAAATATACACTGGCCATTAAGGAATCTGAGCCCTGCTTTTTAGAATGGAGGTGATGTAGTGTGTAGATCTGTTTCTTGAAGTATTAAATGCTTGCTGACAGGCCAGCAGCAGGATTGGTTGTGATTTCATTGATGACTGAAAAAACATACAAGATAGGGAGAGAGTGAGGAGGAGGGGAAAGGAGAGAAGAGGAGAGGAAGGGAAGGGAGGGGAGGAATGACGACAAAGGAATGGGAGGGGGATTGGTTGATGGTGTAATGTGCTGTTTCCGTGCCAACTGTTTCTGTGACACTGGGACCACTTCCTTTTTCGCTATTGGCTATAACCAAGAATTGATAGAGGCTTGGTCAAATGAGGCGGCAGGCCATAGAGTGTGAATGGGTGGTTCTTTTCATGGGTTTCTTCCACTTCAGGTTAATCAATAAGTACGACAACAACACATGCGTTTTGCTTGACTGCAGCGACAGACAACACATGCATGAACACGCATAAACATAATGAAAGCAGTGCTGGAGCAAGATTATCACTTTGTTATTATGAATGTACCAAGAGTATAAAGAGATGGCTTCCTTCCTCCTAACACTCAGAGAGCAAATCCCCAGATCAGGTTCCGGGAGGTTCAGGGTGTAAAGTGTAATGTAATTGCCTGGACACCAACTCTGGTGTCATGAACTGTGAGGTAACTAATTGACTACAGGCCAGCACAAGTGCACATCTGGTGGGGTGAGCAACTTTGTCTCTCCCTAACCTTTCATCTGGGCCTTCTCATGCAGTCGACAGGCAGTTGGTGTAATGTCCTCACCCATTCTCCTTGTCACTTTCTCTCTCGCTGTGTCTTTTTATCCCTATTACCTCATTCAACCTATATACAATATATCATTAATTACCTTAAAGTCAGTTTTAAGTCTCAGTCCCTTACTCTTTAGCAGCCATTACTACAAAAATGCATCCTTTCTGGATGTCTGTGGTAGTGCAGAGTGAACTATCTGAAGTTTTCAAAAAAGAATAGCTCAATTACATACTAATAGTCAGGTGCATAAAACTGCCAGCTGCCACCAAATCCCCTGAAATCCCACTCTGGGATGTTTCAGTGTCTATCAGTCAAATTTAAACATATCTTAAAATAGCCAGGATGCCATTTTCAAGGCTTTTTTGTTACACAGAGGATAACAACAAAGAAAATAACAGTTCATAATATTATGTTCAATAACCCTGGCTCTAAACTAGGTTCTTACCAGTTGTTTTCACTTAGGCTCAGTAGCTGATGTTGACATTTCACCTTCAAATGTCAAACCGCATGGGGAAGATAAACCTCCAAATGTGTGAGAAACAATGTTATGCATTTTTATGAATATATTTTTTTAATACAAAAGGTTGTGGTCTCTGTCCTGAGGGCAAAGAAGTAGAAGGCTGATAGAAATAGACAACAGTCAAGTTCCTGATGAACACAGGTGATGCTGATATGTCATATTGCCATTTAACAGCCAGTTGGCCACTTGAAACCTTTTCAAAACATCGTGGCTGTCCATTTAAGAGCTCACTGACTTTTATTTTGGTCTCCTGTTAGCTTAGTTTCATGTGCTACTATCCACTGCATAGCACTCAAGGTTTGTAACCCAGAATCTTTCACTCAGCAGTTACAGACTTCTATTTCTCTTTGCTCCCAATGTGTGAATGTGTGAGCATTTGTGTGTGCGAACAGCTGAAAGGGAAATAGTGTAAAGCACTTTGAGTGTGCTTCAAATAAGTATAAGACCATCTCTTTTGACCATGATTTACTGTTGGTGGCAACTAGCTTCACAGTTAAGCCACTGCTGGTAACTTATCCAGCAATGTCAAGTCTGTAATTTGCACGTGACTTTTGATTTTGATGTTTGATGCTTTGCTTCCTTCAGGCAAAAACTATTTTGCAAAATAACATTTTTTTAAATTATTCAGTCATCTTGAAACCATTATCAGTGCCTTCATCATGTTACATTTAGACTATAATTCCAGTTCCATTTCCTTTCCTACTAAATAGCTGCAGCGAGACTGTTCACCAAGTAAAGAACAACCCCACACTGACTGGCTGTTAATGGTAGAACTGGTTCCAGCATTTCACTACTAAAGCACAGTAGTGTTTGTCTCCCATATGAGACTTCACAGGTATAAAGATCTAACCAGGGAGACTTTCAGTGCACTTTTTTAATAGTACATGGATTTGACCGATTTGTTTGGTAAATCACTTCACTGACTTGTTTGTCAAGATGTTCTGTGCTGGTGCCTTATGACTCTCCTGTCACCTTTAACATTTGTCCATCCCTTTCACTCTTTATAACCCTCACTATCCCTTTTTGTCTCTCAGATTTGTCTCTATGCCCAGCTTCCTGTTTCCTTAATCCTTAATCCTGTGGAAATCGGTCAGGCAGAATGAGCCAGCTTTGATCAGGCTCTGGTATCAGGCGTGCTAACAGTGTCAGCACACTCGGATCCCACAGAACCCTGGAACCCAGGGGGAGAGCTTCAAACAGGTGTTCACTCCCTGACTGTTTGAGAGGAAGGGGAAGGGGAGGCTGTGGAGATCCTGACTCCACAGCCAGCTACATATTCTGCCTTCAGGCTCTTATTTTTAAATTTAGCATCATGGTTTGACACATTTATCTGTGATGACACCTTCGCTTCTGGATGAGCTTTTTTCCACATGAACAAAAACTTCCTGTGGAAAAGGATCAGCGTCCAGTGTAAAGCCACAAGTGGCTGAGAACAACATACAGTACAGAGATGTGAAAGTTGCTTCTGCTTTTGTCAGTGGTGTCCTTGACAGCAACGTGGAATCTGTGTCACTGGTATTTTGGTACCGCAATCTATGTCCAGGGATAATACCTGCCTGGGTGGGCGGCGTATCATAAACACCTGATGATCATGTGGCACATATGCATCATGCAGAAAAATTAGCCTTCCTTAAAGGTCAGCTTTGTATAGAGCATCTGACAAAGTCAAGAAAAAATAGACAAGCTGAAATGTGCCAAAGCAATTTCTGCTTTGTGCCCACATTTCAGTCCAACCATTCAACCCTGAGGATATGTTTGGAGTGGTCATGGCAACAGAACTTGAACTGCATAAATACTCAAACCTGTAGCTTTCTCTGCAGGTTAGTGTTTGAAGGGTGTGACCTTTGTGAACATACATTTACTGATCTGGTATAAAGTAGTAGCACAGTATAGCATACAATAAGCTATAACAGTTATGAAAAGCTATAAAAGTGCAAATATTGAATACCTCATTAACACTGCATTCTTGAATTTATTCAGTGTCTCAATGCACACAACCTGTAATCATATTAAAGAGTAATTCACAAACACACAGCCTTGTAGGACCAAAAGTAAGTGGAACATAAAGGTTTTTCCTTCTTACAATCACAGGACCTGGGTATCGGAGCACCGTGCAGATCTACAACAATGCTGACAGTGTAGTCAGTTTCCTAATTTAATCAGTTCAGAAGTGTAATCAGGTGCTTTAAATTAGCTAGAGCAATGAAGCATTTAGCCAGGTCAGTCCATGTATATTTAATATGTAACCACCTGCTCCATTTGTCAGCTGAAGATGGTAGATTGCCAGTTCTTTCTGTGATATTACTGTTGCAATTTTCTCAGGTTATAAAATGTAAACCTAAAAAAATTAAGTTTAAATTGAGTTAACATGGCCTACATCAAAGTAATTGATGTGATACCTCTATCAATTATTGTATCAAATAATGTTGCACAAGAAGAGCTTTTGTCACAGGTGAAAATGTGAATATGGCAAGAAGAATTTCTCAAAGTGGAAATCTATGAATAAATTGTCAATGAAAATATACCCTGTCCATTTGCGTACTGCCTCAACTGTTCTTAAGGTAAACACTGACCTCTAGTGGACATGCATGTGTACTTCAATGTTTGACTTTAAACTATTTTTTGTTTTAAACAAAAAAATAAAATTTACAAGCATTATAAAGTATTTTTTTACACAAGGTCCTATCAACTCAACATCAGTTGAATGAATTCCAGTTCATGTTTTACCTGCACTGAACTGAATTTGAAAGTGATATTTCCTTTAATAAAATGTAATGCTGGTAGAGGAGTGAACCCAATTAAAGAGCCAGTCAGCTGAGGCTGTAGAACAGACTTTTAATGTCCTTTTGTGATTTCAGCAGAAACACACAGTCTTGGGGGATCAGGCAGAACAGTGGTACTTAATACGGTCCAGGGTCGAAGTCTCCAGCAAGGCAAGGCAGAATCACAGGTTGGTTGAACAGGCAGGGTGTCAATCTCAGGTTGGCAGTCAGACAAGAGGGAGCAGGCTGGATCACAGGTCGTTAGAGCAGGCAAGGGTCCAGTACCAGGAAAGCAGTCCGAGGGAAACACTGGAGCATCTAGACAATGCATAGAACAATCTAGCAGCTCCTCACACTGTGAGGAGCTGCTATATGCTGTGGTGAACAGGTGTGGGTGATTAGTGGCAGGTGAAACCAATGTACATGATGAGCTGAAGTTACCGGGGTTGTGGATGAGCTGGTGACAGGAAGTATTTTCAGAATAAAAGCAGGGAGAACCGGAAGCCAGCGGGGCAGGACCGTGACATCTGTAGCCATTATGTAGCTGACATCTAAGAAATCTCTGTACCGCAGATTGAGTATATTATAGGTCAAAGGTCAAAGTGTTTATTTGTCATATGCACAGTTAGGAAACATGTTTCCCTGTACAATGAAATTCTTACTTTGACGTCCACATGAATGTCACATAATACAAGTGAAATATAAAGTAGATGAGCA